GTGACACTGGAATTTGCCATTTAGTATCCATGGCCTTTACTGGAAGGAGCATCACTCACCCAGTGTAGCTTGGAGTCTACATCAAACATCCTTTTTTTTTGGTACCAGGAATTGAACTCAGAATCTTGCACTTGCCTGGCAAGGGCTTGGGCCGCTGAGCTATAACCCCAGTCCAACATCAAACATCCTTCAGATATCATCCCCACTCCAAGATACCACATCCCACAGTGTGAGCTAATTCCAAGTCTCCTGTGTTCTGATGGGACTGTGCTGGTGACATGACACCACCCTAATGTAGTGGCTGAGGGCTATGTTAACAGCTTTAAATCATTTGTGGAAAAATGAACCTTCAGGATGGCTTCAAATGAAGCTGCTACAATGAATTTTACTTGAAAAAAATACTGCCCATGGGGCTGGTGAGATGGCTCAGTGGTCTAAAAGCACCTACTTAGAACAAGCTTAGCAAAGCAAAGGGACTGCGGTTCAATCCCCCAGCACCACATGCCAGCCAGCCCGCCCCCTGGTGGGCTGAGCTGGCCACACACACACACACACACACAAATAAAATTTAAAAAAAAAAAAAAAAATACTGCCCAGAGGACAGCTGACACTATCCTAGCAGCAGCAGCTCAGATGCTACCTAAGGGCTAATTACAATAAATCAATGAGGGCAGCAATTTAACATGACAAGGCTGATAAATCAATACCTACTCTAATAAAACACAGCCCATGCCCCAAAACATGGGGGAAAGCTGAACTTTCTGTAATGAATACCCTGAAGGTTGCAAATTTGAGAAAACGTGAAGCCCTTCAAGATAGGCTTGCCTGCAGTTTTCACTTCATGCACTCACTATAAAAATCATTTTCTGGCAAAAGGTTTGATTTCATTAAATGATCTGGGGAGGCAGGATCACCACTAAAAGGGTAAATGGCAGCTCCCAGCAGGCCTTTTCCACCTCTCCCATGAGCAAACTGTGCTAGGCTCCTCAGGAAGGAAGCAGTACCCTCTGCTGCAGACACACCTGAAGCCATCAACCAGCGCCCGCCTGGCACCAGAGGCACTCTCAGATTCAAGTCTAGGCTCACACTGATAGAATTCAAGTCTGGTGTGGTAGGTAGGGCTGGGGTGTGAGAGGAACATGGAGACATGAGGCTGTGGGCCCTAACTAAGCGAGCCTTATAACCTGCAGGCACTCCACATGCTTCAGTGAGTAATACTTTCAGGCACTCCTGAAATTACAGCAGCAAAGCCATGGGTAACTTGAGCAAGGGCAAGGTCGGGACTCTGAAGTTTCCCCTCTGGGAATGGTACAAGCATAAGATGCTTCCATGAAGCTGCAGACCAAACAAACAGGACCCCTGGCTGAAACCTGTCATGGAAACTGTCACAGAGATACCACAAAGAAAACGTGCATTCATAGGTCTTTCTAGTTTTTAGACCCATGATCAAGACTCTAGATCTGGTATTCACTAATAGTACCTTTTGAATCTGCCAACACACTGAGGATTAATTTATGAGATATACTGATTATACGTTACTGGTCACTACCTACACCAACACCTTTTCTCATTTTTTAAAATTTTAATTTTATTTTAAAATATCATACATACAAAACCATGTAACATACAGTTTAAATGTCCAGCCAGCTTCAGAAATTAAGCATCCCCCATTCTGCTGACCCCTTGCCCTCCACGATCACATCTCCCGCCAAGCTTCCAAAGTACCAGCTAACACTGAGTTGTACATCAATTATTTCCTTTTCTTTCATCGCCACGTATTTAACAGCCTGCTTTGGCTTCCACGTAAGAGTCGTAGTGGACACATCCTTTCGCGACTGCTTCTCTGACACTGTATTGTCAGGTCATCCTTGTCCACATGAGGAGCTGTTTCACTATGTGGAATTCCACACACCACACTATTCAACAGATGGAGTCTTCCCAGGCTTTGTTTTTCCTTTTCCTGTCATAATGTTGCTAGGGCAATTTTACATCCATCTCCCGGCTCACGTGTCAAAGTTTCTCAAAGGTACGTACCTAGGGGCGAGTTATGGCAAAGCCCTCAAGCCAAACTGTTTCTCAGGCGGTTGCTCCTAGGCACTCTTAAATCTGTCAATGACTGATCGACTTAGGGTGGCCAAGGGAAAGAAGCAGATCAACTATGAAACTCCTAAAATGCACTTTTAACACAGAACTAAAAATTCTGACACAACAATGAAAAATATATACACTTCTCCACTTTGGCTTACTTGAAATGTACTCTTAAAAGCCAAATGTTGAACTCAAAGTACTCAAATATCTCTAAATATTCTAAGTGAAAATGGCAAAAGATTCAGAGATTGAAAGATATCTATCTATCTATCTATCTATGCTTATTCTCCCCACCTCCCATTCCTCACCCAAGACAGAACCCACCCACTCACAAAAAAAGAAAAGATAGACAGACCCTTGGGAGAGTAACTGCTAACAGCAGGAGCTCCTGGAGAAGAACAGGACAGAAGACACAGATAACTAAACACTTCTGTTGTTTCTAAACCACCTTGCATTTACTGTTATTTTAAAACCATGTGCAATCATTACACTTTTAACACAAAATTCAAAAGCAGTCACCTGGGGTCTTTTAACAAATAACTAAAGATCAGTCAAAAATTTAAACTTGAAAAATCAACCCTGAAGACCCAGACTATAAAATGTATCATTATACAACTTCAAGCGTTCCATGCACATCATAGGTGTTTTAAAAATATACACAGCTCATCTACAATGCATTTTTAAGAACAGAGTGGAAATGAGCTTAAAAATTCCAGCATGTTTCTCTTTTTACATCTCTAGAAACTTGTGAGTGGTTGAACTCAACCCACATGTTGTCCAAGCACTCTTGGAGCTTAGGAAGGCTGGTGACCTTCTGTGACACTGATCAGTATTTAAGGTATCAGACAGACTGCCCGCAGGTGAGCATCACTCAAAGCAGAGGGGTAAATATCCAAGTTGAGTAACACGACTAGGTTACAAATCAAGATCAAGAAGGCAAGAAAAAGTTTAGAATAAAACTGAAAAATAATACTTTAGTCTTTCAAAAAAACAAAAAACCATGTTTTTAATAGCACATGACCCTTTGTATACTGTCTGCCCCTCCATTTCTGACAGGAGAGTGCCCTGAGCAGTGGGCCTCAGTACCTGGGAAATCACACCATTGGAGCTGTGCTAGCGTTAGACAGCCGCGGCTAGTAAACACTCATCTGACTGTATAGTAATGAAATGCTATCCTGTAGTCTCTTCATCTTTTAGAGATACATGCTGAATTATTTACAGATTAAATGGTACAACTGAGAGTTGCCTAAAATAGTAAAAGGACACACACACATGAAGACTGACCATAAAACTTATTGGTGCTGAGCTGGTTAAAGAGCAATTACACTGCTCTACTTTTGTGTCTTAAAATTTCCACACTGAGGGGGAAAAATGTCTACATGTATGTGTGGGGAGAGTGGTGGTGTAAAGGGACTGAAAATAATCAAGATGCACTACATTCATATACCAATCCCCCCAAACAATATAACAAATATATTAACCAACTGACAACTTCTTGGTTTGCATAGAAGAAACATGTATTTCTTAAATAAGCACCTGGTCTCTACATTAGATTCTTGTGATGTTCGTTAGCAACAGTATGTTCCTCTTGAGCCAAACCAATTTGGCGTATAAAATAGTGCAAAACTCAACTTTTCTACCTTGACAATTAAAGTCAGTCCTTAGCCATGGACATCCTAAGGAGTCAGGCCTTTTCACTGGAGCGCAGTGGCACTTAGTCTAAGTTAGCTGTTATCTCTAGATGAGGAAGAAGAGACCAAATCCGGCATTTCCACACTTAGCAGTAAGTCTTCTTCGTATGTATGCCTCTCACAGTGAAGCGTGTCTTTAATGCCACAACCATGTCGAAGGTCACCAAGCAGGGGTTAGGAACAGTTAACTGTGTTTAAGATTTTGTTCTATCTTAACCCTCACAGGAATCATCTCTTGTAAATTCAGAGACAAACTCCACATCTACTGGTACATTTCCAGATCAGCTAGCAAAGACAGGAGGACTTGGGCCCCACAACATTTTCTCATACAGAGCCTCTAAAAGTGAGGTCTTCATTATTTTTAAAGTCTGGTGTACTTAGTAAAGTCTGCAGTGATTCACTGTGGCCTATTAGAATGAATGCAGTGGTAACAGTGAGGCAGTAGACAAGGGACAAAGACTTCAACTTCCTGCCCTAAAACTCCATCAACATGAAGCCACAGTCCTCAATGGGCCTTTAAATGCTCAGTTTCTTTTCCTATACATCGATGGTTAATATTTGAAAATTCTAAAAGGAGCTGCTATGAGATATATTTCATAGCAACACGAGAATACTTTTATATGAGAGAATACTTTTTATACAGTTGATGAAGATAGCTACAGATAGAAACATGCCAATTCTTCTGTACGTGACATAAAATTATGTTTTGTTTTTTAAACAACCTTAATTTTATATACTACACACCCCACATATAGGAAAAAAAAAAAAAAACATTCATAAACTGACAGGTTAAGAGAACTCTTGGTACAAGATTAAAAACAAGGCTGAGATCTAGTTATAAGTTCTCAAATGCGCCTCTACATCATTTCATTCCTAGATGGCAGAAGTTAATATTTTAGTCAGGACAGGCAACAACTTCTACTACTCAAGAAATGTCTCAGGGATGTAAAAATATATTCTAATCCACTATACATTTTTGCTATTAAAACCAAAATCCAGTTTTATTCATAACCACCCCAAAAGTGAAGCACCATTATTTAAACATTAGACTGGAAATTCTATAAAAGTCTTAACACAGAAGAAATTAGATAAAACTGTACACCAAGACCTCTAGTAGTAGTTTATCTCAATAGGTAAAACAAGGGACTAGTTCAGAGTCAATAACTTTATTAGAAAAAGATTAATACTAAAACTTTTAATGACACAATCAACTCTGTAACA